CATGTGGCATCTGCGTTTTCACATAAATCTTATAAGACAGGACGAATGGAAAAAGCTGAGCCACGTCAGCTGTATATGCCAAAAATCCCTTGCTCAACTATTACTAAAACTTTTTAGCATCTTTAAGCTGCTACTGCTACCTTCTTAACACCTTTCTTCTCTGTTTTAAGAGGGTGTGCCACTTCAGGTTTCTCAATACCTTGTATATCCGTAATCCTCAATTTTGTTAATTCCTAAAAATGAATAGGAAAAGAGGATGAGAAGTAACAACGTGTATAAAACATAGTTGTGTTTCAGGCAGTATGTTCATTGTGGATGAATCAATGACTAACCTGTCGATGTCCTCGTGTACGTCGATAATTCTTCCGTCTCTTCTTCTTGAATATAAGTACTTTAGCATCTAATGCCTGGACCAAGAGAAGGACAGATTAAATTTCCTAATCTATCTGGAATGAAATAAGATGTGTGTGTGCATATATGAAGCAAGTTATGCAAACATCCAAGCTCAATGCCTGAAGAACTGAACCTAGTTCCACATCTATGGCATTCCTCGAATAAGCTCAGCACGATCCAATAAGTAAATATAATTGAAGCTAACAGTTATAACTACTGAAAAATGAAGTTCTGTTAATTACACAAACCATTCTTGAGGTATTGTATATTAGTAATATCAGTCCACTTACCATAAGTGGTTACAGGTAGTGCAATATATGCAATACCTTTTCAACAGTGAGGAAAAATAGATCATTAAAAAAATAACAACAATTACGCCTCAGTCCCAAACAAGTCGGGGCCGGCTCTCGATGAACCTTTTTTTCCTTGGGATAAGTATTCCTCTCAATGAACCTACTTATAGAATTCATTCAAATAAGAACTTCTTCTTTTAATATATTTTAAAGGATTAAAAAGTGGTTTATGAGGAAATTGCTAATCCAACTTCTCAAACTTAATGGGAACTGACATAACAGTCACTTACTAGTCAACCGGAAAATACACAAGTAAATATGCAAACAAACTAAAGGCAAAGGTAGACTCATGGCACAACTATCTTACATGCTCCTCAACGACAGCATGAACAGCTGCATCCGGCAATATAGGCCTGCCAATGATTGTCTGAGTCGTTGAGCCCAGCAGCAAAACCTTGTTTAGTATTAACTGAACACAAAACAATGACATAGTTATGCACTCACGTGACAGTAATTCCGATGTACAAGCATTTTTCACAAGTAAAAGACAGGCAAAAACTAAAGTGAGAAAGGGGGGACACATAACAAGCTTCATCAGGGTCAAGGTCTCATGTGCAACGTGATTCTGCACTTTGAAGCTTATCTTGTGCTTCAGCTTGTATTAGAACTAAAACCTATCAATAAACACAAGCCACATTATATTTAAGGGTGATAAGTTTGTTCCTCTCTCCTTTCTATTAAAACTGCCATAAGATTTGTTTTCTAAACAATTTCTATGGTGGTAGTTACTTCCAACTAAGTTGGAAACCAAAAAAATTAGCATCTTCCTTTAGCATCGAAAGATATCAAAGCCAATTAGTTTCATATGGATTATGGAACCCAACACTTTTGTGCATGCACATCTCAAAAGATGTCCATTTCCAGCAATATAATTCAAGTCTCCTTTTTTACTTTACATAATTTTAGAACAGAAGACATACTACCCTTTTTTAATTATAAACACTTGTCAATTCTTCTCCAACGTAAGTACGTAACAAATAGTCTCATTAACCCTTTTGCAGTATTATACCTGCATATTAAAACAAGGAAACTCATTTTGCAATAATATCTAGGATACACAGAAAATATTATAAGGCTGTTTCATCGCAATAACATGGATTAATAGCTTTCTCAAAGTCCCAATGGTCTAACTTGCATTTACTTTCTACCATCAAAAACCTGAAGATTAAAGAATAAACTGATGACAGGAGAAAGAATCATGGTTTTCAAAAAAACAAATAGTTGCTTGTTTTCTTATTCAAACCAAAGTTGCATGGTTTTATGAAAAAGGCCTCTTTAATTAAGGAAAACTACAGAGGAATTATGGGGCTATTACATAACAGGAGGGTAATTATCAAATTTCAAAAACAATAAAAGGGCAACTTCCTTTTCCCCCTTTTCATCAAGCATCAGATATGTTAAAAATAGAATTATGAAATTCCCCGCATCTAATAATAAATATCTTCAACTTTTTCCACGTATATCACCACTTCATTGATGTTATAGATATACTTTTTTCTCAACTTTTTCCTTAAGAATTGCTCTGGAGCCTTTTCTTTCAAGTAATGCCAATTGATGCAAGGTCAGTAGTAAATGATCTATTGAGAAGAGCAAAAATAAAAGTAGTGGACTGAGACCGAACACATTTGCACAAAAGAACTAAGGAGATCATCAACTAGCTCCTGCAGTCCTAAATAAGGTTTGGTAGAAATTGAGCATTTAACACATCCAGAGGGACGAGGCACATAAAGCTCAAATAAGCACTTAGAGTATCCCTTTACCCCATCATTCCTTACTTGAACAAACAACAGAGCTTAAAAACAACGATACATGGTCACAATCCAACCAGACCTTTGACAGCCACAACCCTAAACTCAGCCTTTAGTTTTTTTTCCTGATGTAATTTCAGCAGTTAGGGACAATTGTAGTATGAGAGCAGCGGGTGCATCTGCACTGCACATTCTGCATTTGAGTTTAACTATATGAACTGTTGAACAATTTTTAAGACATATATTTTTACTAAGTTAGCGCCTACTGCTACAACGTCCTCAAGGTGCCTTCTGTTAGTGGTATGTATAAGAAAAAGACATCAACTTTGTACACAACTTCCAGAAAGCAAGAAACCAACTTACCTTGTCATTAACTTCGCAGAACTTCAGTTTCTCAGTAAAAATGGAATCACCATTGCTCACTTTAAACTGGTGAGAACCAATCTACATAAAAAAAAGACAACAGCTTCAATTCTGTAAAGGTCACAATTAAAGATACAAAATTTATCACTAAACGTATATAATCTATAGTGTTAAAAAACTCCAAATATATTAAGTTAATCAAAAATAGCATATACATTCATATAGTCGACCCCAACTAGTTTGGGATTATAAGGTATATAGGAAACAGTAATTAACCTGAACAACGGCAAAAACGGGTTCATATGGTTTGAAGACCCGGTCCGATTTCTGAAGTGGGCCGATGACCTTATACCCAATTTCAGCTGCCTCGTGTTCTTTCTCCTCTGGAGTGTACTCTCTGCTGGGCTCAATATTCGACTCCAAACCCTCCACGTCATGATCATCATCAGTTTCTTCTTCACTTCCCTCCTCGTCATCATCGCTATTGATCGGTCGATTGGAACAGAAATGCCTGTGGAAAGATGAAATTTTAGTGGTAACATTGGGGCATTTGGGAGAGGGAGTGAGTGTGACGATGGATTTAAGTATTTGTGGGGTTAGGGTTTGAGGTGAAATGGAAGTGAGGGAATGGAGAGATGATGGGTTTGGAGAGAGAAGATATGTTAAATGACGGCTTAGGGTTTGAACGCATCGCCGATTCGCCATTGTTTGGCTGAGCTTTGAGCTTTTGGGGAGTGTTTAAGAGTGAGCTGGAAGTTGGGGGTTTCTGTTCTGATTCAACTCGGTACAACTCGGTAACATAACTCACATTTACTCGTTCTTTTTTTTGCCTTCGTTTTTTTTTCCCTTTTTTATTTGAAGAGTAGTAATTTTATTTTTTAAAAACAGTGGTGTTTGAATTTCACCTTTTCTGACCTCTATCATGATTTTCACATTTATCGACCATCAAACCACGCCCTCGAATTTGGAGTAACAGTTTTAACTTTTACGTAATGGCTATGTTTAGCTTGATCAAGAAATAATCAATTCACCACTCTTAATTTGTAACTTTTCATATGATCAAATTACTTAATTGTTATGTTTAGCTTGATCAAGAAATAATCAATTCACCCCTTTTAATTTGTAACTTTTCATATTTATATCTATCTATTTATATATATATATAATTGTGGGAATGAGAAAGTTGATGTGGCATGTCTGAAATGCTAGGAATTAGATTTATTTTTTTCCTCCTTTTTTTGAGGTTTTCTCCTATTTTAATAGTTAAAAACTCAAAGTCACACCCCACATAACTCTGTACGGTTAAGAAATGAAAAGTCAGGCAGTTTTGAAAACAAAATTTAATTGCAGTTTCACAGTAATAATTAGGAAAGAGAAACGCATGGTTTCAAAATTTTATACCCAAATCTTTTGACTTTTCAACTACCACATTTAAAGGTAAAATTATCCTTTACTATTTAGTTTCCTCCTACACGTGAAGAATGGAAATACGCTGCCAATCTTTTCACCCTCTTTTATATTTTCTCTAATTCTCTCAAATATTTTTCTAAAATTGTGAGGCTGCTTTGCTTTTTCACCAAAGTTTTTTGGTTAATTATATTTTGTTTAGTGTAATTGTTAAGTTTCGTAGGTGATAGTTTATTTAGATATTTTTTAGAGTGAATTATGATGCATTTGAGATGATGATCAAAAAAGTAATACCGTATGCATGTTTAATTTATTAATGTTGAATCTGTTTCTCTCATATCTGACTCATGGATATAGTCATTTTTTCTTTCTCGGAAGAGAAATGTTGAGGAAGTGTTCTCTACATCCTTGCATATTTTATAGTGCTGGATATACTGGGAATATAATTGGTGATATGTCAGTTCCATGGCATAAAAATACTATTTATCTTTTATCTCTATCTTTTAACTATTTTCTTACATTTTTTCATTTCTCCTATTTTAAAAAGTCCACATCCAAAAGTAATGTTTGTTAATAAAATAAAATGTTGAGGAAGAATGTGATAGTTCAACCATAAAAATGTAAGCTTATGCAACGATTGTAATTATTTTAAAAATAATGGTAGTAAGTAAAGTAATTTATATTTCATTTCATACCTCATCATATACTTTCTGCAAAAGACAATTAAATGTTTGTTAATAAAATTATAAATAAAATCCTTTCGAAATGTGCTGCTTAATAAATTAAACTTTTATATGAAATGGTCATACATCTATATATTCTATATATAAAAGAGAGCAATAGAAAAGTGAGGTGGCATATCTCTTAAGCCAAGAAACATATTTATCTTTTTTCTCCTTTTGGGGGGATTTTTCATCATCCTTTCTATTTATTTTATATTAAAAATAAAAAAATTATTTTCATAACTCACAACTCTTTATCTTCTTAACATATACTTTTAATAGTCTCAATAACTCCAATCCCTTTCATATTCATAACCTCCAAATGTTTAATGTGTAAGTTTATGATAATTTATCTCATTTTTTTAATCTTCCCCTTCATTTCTCTCATTTAATCTATTTAACATAATGGAGTAAATGAGTAAAAAAGAACCCATGTAGTAGTTTTCTAGAACAAAGCTCACTCAGCTTTAGCGCTTGAATACCATTTTTATTTATCTTTGTTGTCCTTTATTTATTTTAAAATTTAAAATTTCATTTTCATAACTCATACTACCTTAACTTCTACTCTTAATAATATCCATAACTCCCATATTTTTCATATCGGCAAAGGTCTAAATATACCCCTCTACTTTCGAAAATCGTCTAAAAATATCCCTCGTTATACTATTGAGTTATCTATACCACTGCAGTCATACTTTGGGTTTAAATATACCATTAATTTAAACGGATGGACACGTGTCATCGTCTTGTTGGTCAATTCTAAATATCTTTTAATTAATTAAAAAGACCCATTACCCATACACGAAAAATAAATTTTATTTTTTGTAAAAACTGGAAAAAACTGATATTATTTTTACTAAAAACTGAAAAAAAAACGAAAATATTTTTTTTTTCAGTTTTTACAAAAACCTTCCTTAGAAAAAACTAAAAAATATTTTCTAAAATAATATTTTTGTAAAAACTAAAAATAAAAAGCTGAAAACTAATTTTCTAAAGCAATTTTTTTGTAAAACTGGAAAAAAACTGAAATATTTTTTTACTAAAAACTGAAAAAAAAAATGATTGTTTTTACAAAAAAAAACTGATTAAAAAAAAGCTGAAAAATATTTTCTAAAATTATTTTTTTTAAAAACTGAAAAAAAAAAACTAAAAAGAAATTTTCTAAAGCAATATTTTTGTAAAAACTGAAAAAACAAATATTGCTTTAGAAAAGCAATGTTTTTTCAGTTTTTAGTAAAAAATATTTCAGTTTTTTTCAGTTTTTACACAAAAATTGCTTTAGAAAATTGATTTGCAACTTTTCTTTTCAGTTTTTACAAAAACATTGTTTTAGAAAATATTTTTCAGTTTTTTCTAAGACAATGTTTTTGTAAAAACTGGAAAAAAAAATATTTTTTCAGTTTTTAGTAAAAATAATTTCAGTTTTTTCCAGTTTTTACAACAACAAAAAATCGTGTATGGGTAATGGGTCTTTTTAATTAATTAAGAGATATTTAGAATTGACCAACAGGACGATGACACGTGCCCCTCCATTTAAATGAGGGGTATATTTGAACCCAAAGTATGACTGCAGGGGTATAAATAACCCAATAGTATAACGAGGGATATTCTTAGACCATTTTTGAAAGAAGAGGGGTATATATGGCCCTTTGTCGTTTTCATATTCATAACCCCCAAATATTTAATCTAAAAATTAAATTACCTTATGGTATTCATCTATTTTTTCTTATATAAATTCATAACTTTGTTTCATGAGACCCCTACCCAAGACTACCTTTTTTTGTTCTTTATCTGAAATAGTAATGCTGTCATATTTACTGCAGCATTCGATTCATGTTTTAGTTTGGCTTGAGGATGAAGGCTCTTTAATNTGTTTCATGAGACCCTACCCAAGACTACCCTTTTTTATTCATTACCTGAAATAGTAATGCTGTCATATTTACTGCAGCATTCGATTCATGTTTTAGTTTGGCTTGAGGATGAAGGCTCTTTAATAATGATCGATATTGCGGGAGGGGGTGTCGACAAGAACTCGAAAAATTATACATTGATTTTGCATTCCTATTTCCTTCTATTTTCTTAAGATTAAGGTCTCAAGTTGTATCTTTTTCTTCTCTATTTACTATATCGTGTGTTCTCTTTCGCTTTATTTTCTATGAACTTTTGATTGTCGCAAGTCTGTATTTTCGTTTAGACTCAAATTAATTACTTATGAGTTAAACTTTGTTGGAAGTCTGCTAACTACTAACCAATAATAGCTCATTGTATAAAAGGGATAAATTTTAAACATTGAAATACGCCCTTCATTGGATATTTTGGCAACACTTCTTATTTCTTTTAGTCAGTAAAAAATATTATAGCTAAAAGTCACAGAGCAGACGCAAGTTCTTCTTTGTTGAGCCATCGGCATGCTTGTTTCTTGTATAATAGAAATTATTTTCTACGTCATTTCTACTTGTAATTTTTATAAAGTAAGTAGTAAATTATTTTTCATTTTATTCGTATGATTGGATTATGTATTATATGTACGACAAAATAAAATAAAGTATTTAGTTTACTTTGTAACTTTTGGTTCTTTTTGAAGTATTGTGATAATTATCTTTCTTTTTGAAAGTTATGTTTTGATTTTCTTCTTTAAATTGCCTATTATTTGTAAGACAATTTTTTTTTTTTTTTTTTTTTTTTTTTTTTTTTTTTTTTTTTTTTTTTTTTTT